TCTCCAACTCCCTTGTCCTCCTTCAGAGCACGCTGTTGTCTTTGCATGCCCGAGTGTGTGTCTCTCTACAGCAGCCGTCACGTGTTTGGTGCCTGTGTGGGGTGTGTGCACGACTGTGTCTACAGGGGATACGCTTTCCTGCCTCTCTCTTAGGTCTTGGCCCATTATAGGAACTCCAAATTGTGTGACAGGCTTGTGTGAGGCCATGTGCCTGTCCTCAGTGTTTCAGTCCCCTGGGGCCCCTAAACTGCCCCCTTACCTAGGTTAGAAAGGAAGAATGGATCCCACGAGGCTGTTGGCCTGGCCTCTCCTGTGGCCTGGAAGCCTCCCTCTGAGAGCCAACGTTCCTTAGTACTCAGGAAAGGGGCAAAGTGGGGACTGCCCCACCCAGTCTGCCCAGGTGGCCTCAGCCATTTCCTCTGCTTTCTCCTTAGGCCTCTAGGAGTGGAGTTGGCAGGCCCTGCAGTGGGAGGGGTGGCTGGGAGGAGGCACAGGAGCCTGAAGAAGCTGCCAGGGGCTGGCGGCCCCTGGGACCCCTTCCCACAAGGGCAGAGGCGGCACCAGCTGCGCCACAGAAGAAATATTCCCCAAAGTCAGAGTGGCCGTCTCGTATTTTAAGTGGCCCTTATTTATCACCGCCCTCCTGGGTTCCCTTTCTCAGCAAATGATGATAAAAGACAGCAGTGGGGGGGGGGGCACGGGGCGCTTTGTGGCTGGCCCTGCAGCTGGCGGCGGGGGCAGCACCGGGAAGCACAGACACACAGCGGCATGCTGCACAGTGATCTGCATATAAGGGGCTGTATCCAGACTCAGTGTCACACACAATAACTCCCCTCCCCCGGCCAAACACCCATACACAGACTCAGCCATGAAGGCTGACCACAACCAAAGACACCTGAAGACACCCACACCATGAACACGCCCACAGACTGACCCATGCCCAGGGGCATGTCCCCACTCGGGCACATAGGCCCACATGCACGCACAGTGCACACACACCTTGGCATACACATGCGTGATATGCATACGTACACAGATGCCCACTCTTGCCAGCAGGTGACACTCACCCCTAACGCCTACCATGCACATGTGCTCCCTTTCAGCATGGCTCTCTGGACTCCCGCTTTTAAGGCTGTGAAGGTATGCCAATGTTAGGTCATTCTGTATGACAGCCAGCACGTGTGTGCTCTTTACACCGCACTCACGGGCGGCCATGCAAACGGCTGGTCTAGCTGAAGCAAATGAATGTCAAACCTCCTACCACCTACACAGAAATTCATGGGAAAAAAAAAAAATGGATCTTAGACCGTTAACCCAAACCACAGAACTTCGGGAAGAAAACCTAGGAGAAGGCCTTCTGGGATGAGAGGCAGGCAAAGTTGGTGTGGACAGAAGGCAAGTCACAGCTCCAGTTTTGCACAGAGCCACAGGCACAGTCTTTGAGTGAAAACTCACTAGCTTTCCCCATCCTTAAATACAGCTAGCTGAGTTACCAAGGCAAGTCACTTGCTTTCCTGAGCTCAGGTTCCTCCTCATACAGTGAAAATGTAATTTCCCCTGCCTCTTGGAAGACCTGGGAAGTCCAGGCCGGGGCACTGATGTCAGTGAAATACCCTTAGCAAGTTGTGTACTGCACAAAGCCTGGCTAGGTGGGGATCTTGTAGGCCACAGTGGCTGCCCACACCCCTAGGCATGATCCTAAGAGGCGGTCTCTACCCAACACCTTGCTGCTTCTCACCGGGGAAGGGACTGGAGCATTTCAACCTCCTCTTCTGCCCCCACCCTAACCCACACCCTGTTCCCCCATCAGCGTCCCAGTTGCCAATCAGCCTCTGCTCCAGCCTCAGCCCATTAGTGTGGCTCCCTCGGGGAATCTATTTTTTAAAGGTTATTAGCAGATTATTGGTTCTTTATCAACCTCAGGCCTCAATCTCCAATCTCCCGATGAAGCCATTGTGTCCTAATAAGATGTACTTGATAATCTTGGTGTGAGGGTGGTGGAGGACTTGGTGGGGGTGGGGCAGCAGGAAGGAAGGAAGGGTTAACCGCATGGCCCCACCCCCCAGCCCATCGGTCCTCAAATAGCTGAACTACTGTATGTTGTAGTTTTCAACTGCAAATCATCTTTAATAGCAGACATCACGGGATGGCTCATTACATTAAGCTATTTTTCATGCTATCTCCTGTAATATCCTCTAATCCAATGCGTTTCAAATCACCTCGGGCTAAAATAAGAGACATAGCGATGTAATAGCCTAGTGTATTAGTGGGTTAATTGCCCTGTTGTACTCTTCCTAGTAGCTATCTCTGGAATGACTTCTTATTAATTGTAAATTGCTTAATACATTTAACTCCTTGCCACCGCCCCGTCCCCTAACGAAGGAGGCCACTACCCGGTTGCTTGATGGGAATGGGAGGGGGGTAGTTTGTGGGCACTCTTTTCTAACTCAGGCTCCCCTCTGTCTCCTTGGCCCAAGCTGGAAGAGGAGGCTCAGAAGATACTTCACAAGGGGAAGATCGGTGTTTATTGAGCACTTACTATATCCCGCTATTATAACCCAGGCCCATGACTAGGCCTTTTCTTCAAACGTCACCTCAGTGGAGCCTCCCAAGACCTTGAGGAATACACCTCAAGATCGTGCGGCTTGTTCGAAGAGCTATGAATCTGAGGTTTGCATCCAGACCCCAGGGCTTTCAGAGCCACAGTGGCTGGGAGTGAGTGGGCGGGGTCTGGAGCTGGGAACTAGAGCACTGGTGTGGTCGGCAGGTTCCTGGGGGACTCCTGGCCTGAAGATGCAGCTCCTGAACTCCAGTCTGAAAGGAGGGGTACAACTTCTGCTTCAAGGGGTCCCCTGCCTGAGGAAGGAAAAATAGATTCTCGGGGGGGGGGTCAGTCAGATGAGGGAGACAGGCCCACACAGAGGACACAGAAAAGAAGAGTAAATGAATGAGCCTGAGGCAGAGCAGCTGACAGGCTCTGTGCGTGGGGAGGGTGCACAGAGTTCGGAGCCGTGCTGCCCACCTCAGGAGGCATCCCCTGCTCCCTTCCACACTTCTGCCCGGTGACTCTTTCTGCAGGCAGATGTCAACGCCCCAGGGTAGGGACAGTACTGGACCACCTCCTAGTCACAGTTCTTGGTCTCAGTGCCAACAGCTCTAAAGTGCTATCTGGTTTCTAAACCGACCCGGCTGGATGTGGAAGCAGGGCCAGGAATGCTCCCCTCCTCCCCTATCCTCTTTCCTCTTTTCTGGATGGAGATGATGAGCGCGAGCGGGTCCGGAGGGAGAAGCCAGAAAGAGCAGGGAGGGAAAGGGAGATGGGAAGGGAATCAGGCCACGGAAGAACCACGCAAACAGGGTGGCAGGGACCAGTCAGTGTTTACCTTCCGCAAATTAGCACTTTTAACGCACACAGCCATGCATTGTGAGTGGGAGTCCCACGGGAGTCACTTGGTTAGAAACACCACGGGCGGTACAATGTTCTCATAGCTTGGCATAGGCCCCAAGTCTGAAATGGCCTGGTAGATGCCTCTCTCAGCGGGACCCCGGAACCCTTTTCTAAGCTCCTGGGCCTCCTGTTTCCAGAGATGAGGCCTTGGGGCAAAAGAAGGAAGCTGGAGGGAGGGTAAGAGGGCCCGGTGTGCAGCGTGGGGCTGGCTGGGTCTCCTAGCCCCCCGGGATGGTGGTGGCGGCTTTGTCGCCTGCTGGCTGGAGAGCAACCTTGAGCGCGGGCGTGCAGACAGTGATTTAGGTGCCTGCACTGGAGCGTGAAGGTAAATGACCACATTTCACCGTCAGGAGGTGAGCTGGAGGCGCCTGCCCGGGCCCTTCCCCCAAGGCCTGGGGCTGGCGAGGACAGAGCTCCTGCTATCCTGGCTGTAGCCCCTACCCAATCCAGTCTGCGGTTGCTGCTCTCCTCACCAACCTACCACCTTGACCCCTTCCAAAGCCGCTTCGGAGAGACCCTGAGAAGCTAACACTCAAGCCATGTATCCTTGGGAAGGTCTCCTTGACAAAGGGTGGCCGTGGATACTTCCTAGTCTAGTAGGGAGAGCTCATACACTACACGGGGGCCTGTTTCACATTGCAGGTGCAGAAACTGGGGTTTAAGAGGTTCAGCGATCTGCGGAAGGCCACTCAGGCTAGGGGGCGGTGAGGAGACTGAGAACCCTGGTCATTAAGCCCCAAAGAGCTTGCATCTGGGTGGGGTGGAGTGGGAAATGTCAGCACACAGCAACCCTGGCTTTTGTGTCCAAAGTCCTGGGTGTAAAGTTGATGTTTGTTTTTGATGTTTGAAAACCACAGAACTGCTGGCCTGGGGAGATGGCTGAACAGGTGAGGATGCTCAGGCAGCCACGCCTGACAGTCTGAGTCCTGTTCCCCAACCTACATGACAGGAAGGTGGGGAAGCTAACTCAGAAGATTATCCTCTGGCCTACACGCACACCCCCCCACACCCACACACCCCCCCCCCCCCCACAAAACAAATAACCTTTAAAAGTAAAGATCTGTGGGTCTGATTTGATGTTCCTTCCTCCTTGGGGTCAAAACTTCCTTTCCAGAAAGCCCTGTTGGGTGCTGAACCCCTGGAAATCAACCCCGCCTCCAAGTTCCCATGAGAGGGAAGCAGCCAGATGAGCAATTCCTTTTTGCTGAGAAAGCTAGGGGGAAATGGGGAGCCGAGCTGTGTGTGTGTGTGTGCAGGAGTTGGCAATGGCAGGATGGCTCGCAGCCCACCCTTTCTGAACTCTGCAAGAAAGCTACATACAGAGCAAGGCAGGGTGTGGGCAGGTGAGGGGAGATGGGCCCAAGGCTCTGGCCAGGAGAGCTTCCAGTTCTTGCCAGGGCATCTTTGGTCATCACTATCCTTTTTATTTTTGTGAATCAGGGTATCATAAAGTCCGGTCTGTCTCTAACTCCTTGGCTTGTATGTCAGCCTCTCAAATGATGGTATTGTAGGGAAGAACCCCCTTGCCTGTCTTCATTATTGTTTATATTAACTATTATGATTATTCCATTGATCAATATTCATCATTATTATCCATAATGGATGCTTTTGTGCATGTTCTCTATGTATGAGGTGTGGCTCTGATCATGCCCACAACCCTGTGAGATAGGGATTGTTGGCTCCATTTTATGGATAAGAACCCTGAGGCTAGGTCTTTGGCTTTGGGCCCTGTGGCTGAAGGGTGCTGCAGCTGGCACTGGTTTCACATTCTGTTGGCCCTGGGGAGTCTTCTCCCTGTGGTCCACTGCCTCTTTAGTCCACTATGTCTGGAGGGAACACTGTGTCTGTCTGATGAGGCGTGGGGTGCCCACCCACTGTGTGATGGTAAAGGAGACCTACATTTCTCTCTCTGCAGTAGATTTTCTGGCATGGATCTCCTAACCCTGGGTCAGGGCATGGGGAATAGAGGAGGCAGGAAGGGTCTAAGTTTCCAGCTGGCCTCATGGCACAGGGGCTCTCTGGGCTCATGGCTGAGTGGATCGCCCTCACCAGGGCAGATAATAAGTGAGGGCAGACAGAGGAAGACCATCCTCCACGGTGGGAGGCACACTTGGAGGGGCCAGAGAACCCAGCAGAGACCTTCAGAGGGCTGGGACGCAGTTGTAGACATCCCTGGAGTTTGGGCCACCCTAGGAGGGGACTCAATGGAGCCAACCCAGCCACAAGATCTTGACACACACAGCAGGCTGAAGTAGCAGGGGCCTTCCCAATCAGCCCAGAGCCTTGTTCTTTAGACCCCTAGTTACCATGACAACTTCAACAGCTGATATTTATTGAATGCCTACTGTATGTCCCGGACTGTGCCAAATCTTTTAAAAAATACTCTGACAGCCATCATATGTGCTAGGGACAGACGACTGCTACCCCAGAAGCGTAGGCTCCCTTCAGCAGAAGGGCACAGTGTCTGGAGAAGGGATCTGCCCCTTTGATCCCAGCGCAGGCATGACACCTGCCAGCCTTCCGTGGACACCGTTTGGACACTTACTCCTCCGTTTCAGCGGGTGGAGGTTTCAGGCTGAGGCCACTTCGCTTGTGTCCCCCATTGTCTCTGTGCTTGGCTCCGGAATCCCTTCCTGGCTCTCAGGCACATCGCCTGCCACTGTCTTCTGAATCCGTCCTTGTGCCTGAGTCCTGGCCCCTGGTCTGGGACTGTGCCCATGGATGTGTGAGTCTGCAGAGGGACGTGATGAAGGGGGAGCAGGTGGCCCCAGCACTGTCTCATCACTGTGATGGAGAAAGCCAAGCAGAGACCAGGGAGGGTCTCCTAGCCCTGTCCAGCAAAGGATAAACCTGAGGTCTGTGGGGGAGATTGAGGAGCCCACCCCAGGCCCTGCCATTTATTACCTGCCTAGGCCAACTTCTTCCTTCCATCTGTCTTCCCAGTGTTGACAAGATCAGGGGGGATAGTCCCCTTTGTGGGCCCTTGCCCTCTGCTGCCCCCTCTTCAGTTTAGAATCTCTGATTCACACAGTGCCACGCTTGGTAAGGCATCCGTTGCTGCCAGGCCCAGCCCCATCACTTAACGAACAGGGGAAGCACAGAGAAGGAGAGTGACTTGTACAAGGTCACACAGCAAGCTAGCAGCAGGCCTGTCATAGCTGAGGATGCTGGGAAGGTGGGCTGATGGCAATCTTGTGGGGGCCCCATGAGACTGGAGGGGTTCTGAGAAGGGAGAGGCTGTCCCCTCTCTCAGCTTTCCTGAGGTATTAGCTGAATCCCTGGCCAACTCCCTCCCTCCCATCTCCCCGCCCCATCACCATCCTCATGTACCGGGTGGAATTGTCTTAACGCAGTAAATTGTTCATACACATGTAAGCAAATATCTTCTCAAATTATCTCTTATCACCAAACAGGCTGCGATGCTCACCGGCTGGAGGGCCGAGGTTGTCTTTCAATCCACGGATGATGGGGAGGGGGCGGGGAGGAGGGGGGGCAGCTGACACCAAAAATAAACCAGCGGAGTGGGGATGGTTGTCGCAAGGGGCAGAGCGAAGTTGTCAGGCGGCGAGAGCGTGTGAGGCGGCAGGACGATAATGTGGCATGACACTTCTGAAATGAGCGGCCCGTTGCCATGGTGAGCAGCCAGGAGGGACCAGCTCTCCCGAGGCTGAAATAAAACACGCTTTAAATGATGTTTGATTAGAATTTAGATCATGTAACCGAATACCTCAGTCCTCCTCTTCGCTCTGCTTTTCTGCTTTTCTTTTCCAGTCTCTTTTCTTCTTTCCATCCAGGCCTCTCTTCACCCTGGGAAGACACAGATGCACACACTCACACATGCACACATATGCAATACAATCCCGCACACTTACAGCTATACACCCCTGCACACGTCCAAAATAGGTGTACACACGTGCAAACTTACACGAATGTGCATGAACACATACATACAAGTAAACACAGGCACAGACATGCCAAGTAGACACAGGTATACAGACTTGCATGCTTGTATGCATACACATCTACACACAAACCCTTCTCCTCTGTTCTCCCCAGTTGTTCTGTTGAATCTTGGGTCAGAAAATCCAGCTCAAGGCAGCTGGGGACCCCTTGTGGGGTCACAGTATTTATGGGAGTGGGTGGCGGGGAGCATGAAGAGCTTGAATCTTAGCAACAATGTGACAATCCAGATGATTCATGAACCTTGGTCGGGTAACTCCTTATGCTTCATAAAGTCTCTCCAAATTCAAGTTATGCTTTTTTTTTTTCTCTCACTGAAGGCTTTTTCCTAATCATGGCCATTCCCATTTTCTAGATGAGACACTGAGGACCAAAGAGTCAAAATGTCTTGTTCGAGGTCAAGCACACATAGGGCTGGAGAGATGTCTCAGTGATTAAGAGCACTTGCTGCTCTTGCAGAGGAGCTGAGTTCTGGTCCCAGGACCCATGCTGGGTGGCTCACGACTGCGTGTAATTTCAGCTGCAGGGGATCTGACCCCCTTTTGGGGCCTCTTCAGGCACCTGGATACGTGTGGCATATACTCACACAGATGCATGTACATAAATAAAAAGAAAAATATTTTGTTTTAAAAGAATCGAGCACCAGTCAGAAGTATATCTGGGACTTCTAGGACTGCCCTTTGGGCTTTGGGAGGAGCTTCTTAGGAGATAGCGCAGCTGGTTTTGCTGTTGGCTTTGGCCTACATGAGCTGTGCAGAGGTGGACAGAACAGCCCTGGCCTGTTTCAAGAGGCTTTTGCATGGACTGATTTTCTGCCCTATTTTTTTTTTATTTTGGTAACAGACTTGTGTTATATTTGTGGTATTTTTCCAGGGCATGCTGCCCGGGTTGGGAAGACAGCCAGTCCTGGGTTGGAGGTGCTGTGTTGATAGTGTAGAGTGGGTGACGGAAGGTGGACACTATGGACAGGGCCAGCCGGGGACTTCTGGAATCTCACTGTTCTTACTGCCCTGGATTTTCTTGGAAGCCCTGGAGAGGGGAATCACTATCCTGTTCTGGGTTAGAGAGACATATCTGGATCCAGTGTCTATCTTCCTGATAGGCCTTCGGATAGCTTATTAGCCAATCTATCCATTAATTCCATTATGTAGCCGTCATAGACATATCCAGTACTTTCTGTGTGCTGGGACTCAGAGACAGATAGACAGACAGGCAGACAGATACACATAGGCACACAGATACACGAACACAGACACAGACACAGACAGACATAGACAGACACAAAAGACACAGACAGATACACACACAGATACAGACACACAGACACAGACACACACACATGCGACACACACACAGACAGATACAGGCACATATACATGCACACATAGACACACACACAGACACACACACATGCACACACAGACACATACACACAGACAGATACAGGTACATATACATGCACACATAGACGCACACACAGATACACACACACATGCACACACACACACAGACAGATACAGGCACATATACATGCACACATAGACACACACACAGACACACACACAGACACACACAGACACACACACAGACACAGACACACACACACAGTGGGGGGCATAGACTCCTTTTGTACCGTGTGTTCTGATGGAGAGGGAGCAAATGATGTGGAGTGTGTATGAAGGGGAAATAGCCTGTGTCCAGCAGGACCGTGGAAGTCTTCCCTGAGGAGGTCATGCTTGAATAAAATGTAGTTCTCTGGGGAGACACAGGCAGAACAGCCAAGACTAGATCTTGATTGCAAAGGTCTACTTGTACCCAATATGCTAGGTGCTCCCTAGGTGGGCAGTGCCTCTCCCATGAGACTCCACCTGTTCTGTTTTAGGTTAGGAATTGAACCAAGGTCCTTGTACATGCCAAGCCAGTGCTTGGTCACTAGGCCACACCCCCCTCTCACACTAAGCTTTTGAAACAGAGCCTGAGCCCTGGCTGCTACACCCTCCCTAGATGAGGGGTTCACCGAGAGGGCTGATACCTTCCCTTCCTTTTGTCCTTTGTTCCAATGGAATGGCATTTACTTCCTTGCTTCTCTTGGTAATTCTGTAAAAGCAGGGACCCCAACGCGTACCTCTGTGCCTCCCTGTGCCCGACACAGGACTTCCTATAGAAATACGAGGCAACGTCAGGTGGAGGTGTGGCTCAGCAGTAGAGCATTTGCCTAGATTTCATGAAGCCTTGGGTTGGGTCCTCAGCACAAAAAGAAAGAAAAGAGTCAACATTTATTGAGTACTTGCTGTATGCTTGGCACTGTGATGGGTGCCTTCCATGTCATTATGCCTTTATGGCTCTAGAGCAGTGGTTCTCAACCTGTGAGTCGCGACCTCTTCCAGGTCAACCGACCCTTTAACAGGGGTTGGCTGAGACCATCAGAAAACACAGATACTTACATTACAATTCATAACCGTAGCAAAATGACAGTTAAGAAGTAGCAAGGACAATAATTTTATGGTTGGGGGGTCACCACAACATGAGGAACTGTATTAAAGGGTCGCAGCGTTAGGAAGGTTGAAAACCACTGAGCTAGGGGCAGGTGCCACCACTGTCCCTATTTCACAGTGGGGGAAACTACAGAGCTGGCAGATTAATTCACTTACCCCAGCTCATACAAAGTAACTGGTGACAGAGTCAGTCCGGATGCAGATGTAGGTGGTCTGACTCCAAAGTCCCTGACCTCTGACTCTTGACTTCCAGCTCCTGACCTTTTGAAAAGAACTTCATTTGCTTGTGAGGTCACTGGGCTCAGCTTCTCCACGTGGACCGGAGGAGGGCGCTGATCATGTTTCAGAAGTCTGCCTTTGGAGACTCTCTGGTGCTTTATAAGGCAGGAAAGAGCAAGGAAGGGTTGGGTAGGGAAGGAGCCGCAGACTGAGGCCAGGGCTCTAAAGGAATTGTTGAGGGTGACAGCAGCTACATTCAGCCTGTCAAGGCTGGTAAAGGATGGATCAAGTGAGGCCACTGAGGGTGACAAGGTATGTGGGCAGGGGTCAAGGAATCCAGCCGTCATCCAGAGCCAGGTCTACCCTTCCTGTCCACTCCTAGCCCTGTCTGTCATGGAGTGGTACAGGTTTCGTTAATTTTGACACAGGGTCTCATGTATTCCAGACTGACCCCAAACTCTATGTCTCCCAAAGGATGAGGATGGCCTGAAACTTCTGATCCCTCCACCTCCCAAGTGCTGAGAATACAGGCTTATACTACCGCATTTGGTTTATATAGTATGAGGGATTGAACCTAGGACTTTGTGCATGCTAGGTAAGTGTTCTACCAACTAAGCTATGTTACTAGTCCATCATGCCTGTGTGTGTGTGTGTGTGTGTGTGTGTGTGTGTGTGTGTGTGTGTGTGAGGGGGCATGGGGGCGTGGTGTGTGTGAGTACACATGTGTGTGGGGTGTTCTTGCCTACAGGGGTGCATGTGGAGATCTTAATGTCAGGATATCTCCCTCAATTGCTTCCCCATCTTAGTTTTTGAGCTCACTGACTCTGGAGCTCCCTATTTCAAGTCGACTAGATGGCCAGTGAGCCCCCGTTATCTACCCGTTTCTACCCACCAGCACCGGGATTACGCAGACACACTGCCATGCCTGCCTTTCACATGGTTGCAGATCCGAACTCGGGCCTCAGGCATGCACAGCAAACTCCTCAACCAGTGGCTATCTCTTCAGTCCCCATCACACCAGACTTTGATGCAGTCTTCTTGTCCTAGCTCCATAGAGCCTGCCCTTGTTTGAACCCCCGTAGTCTGGTCCCGTGGTATGGCTCTCTCTCCAACCTCTCCCTCCTCACTTTCTTCTACGGGCCATGAGCTGGTGTACTACAACAGACTTGACTGTACTATCTTCAAGCTCCAAAATCTTCATGCCTCCTCAGGCCCTAGGGTGCAGCTAAGATTCACCCTGTGTGCTCTTCAGCCCCAAGGCTCTCTGGCCCCCAAGCCTGCCTTTCTGGCCTGGTACCTCTCACCTGTTCCTGCTCCAGGTGAGTCAGTCCTTGCTTATCTGTATCTCTGCAGCTGAGTGTCCACCACAGATGATCAACGCCCCCATCCCCATGCCCCGTTATTCCAGTCAAATACCTGCTGACGAGGCCTTTTCGACCATTCTGACAGCTCCGCCATTTCTCTCTCTGGCGTGTCTTCCCCGACCGCCCCTTCCGGAAGGCACAGCTGCGACATGGCATTTCAGGAATCAGGCTGTGGGTGCGTTTCCGTTATTTCCCCAGCTTAACTGCAGGCTTCTGGAAGAGCAGGCTGCGGTGCAATCGTTGTGTCAGGCTGTCTTCTAAGGTGCCCTGCCCAGGATGCCCAGCCTCTTCAAGAACACATCTGTGCTCCACCTTTGCACCCCAGCTGCTCCAGCAGGGGCAGTGGGTAGGAAGGAAAAACTGGAGGCTACCCACAACTTTCTGATTAACTTCCTCACAGGCGGGGTCTTCCCGGGAGGAGAGGCGAGGAACACACCTGAGTGGAGCAGAAGTGAGGAGAGCCCGGTGCCTGCAGAGGCTGAGTGGGGGTGCGGTGTGGAGCCTGAGTGCAGCGGAGATGGAATAGAGGACTGGAGGATTGACAGGAAGTCAGTGCTGTGGAGAGACCTTAGAGAAATCTAGAACTATCTCGTAATGTCTTCCCCTGGGGTGATATGAAAGAAAATGGTCCCCACAGGCTCATAGAGAGCATTACTATTAGGAGGTGTGTCCTTGTTGGAGTAGGTGTGGCCTTGATGGAGGAAGTGTGTCCCTGGGGGCGGGCTTTGAGGTCTCATATACTCAAGCCAGGCCCAGTGTGGCATTCTCTTCCTGCTGCCTGCCGATCTGGATATAGAACTCTTGGCTAACTCTCCAGCACCATGTCTGCCTGTATCCTGCCGTGCTTCCCACCATGATGACAAACCTCTGGACTGTAAGCCAGTCCCAGTTAAGTGCTTTCCTTTACAAGAGTTGCCGTGGTCATGGTATCACTTCACGGCACTAGAAACCCTAACTAAGACATCCCTCAAACAGCCCCATGGGGAGACAGCTACAGGGTGGCCCCAGTCACAGGATGAGAATGTCAGGAGCTATTTTTTTTTTAAATCCTATTTGCAGTACTGGGACTTGAATCCAGGGCCTTGTGTATGTTAGGCAAGCACACTGCCATCCAGCCACATCCCCAGCCAGGAGCTACTTTTACAGAACAGCACAGCAAGGGCATGTTATGGAAGGCTTCTTGAGACCAGTGAGAACTAAGCATTAGGGAATACAGGAACATGGGCTAGGGAGCATGGGTTTGCAATGTAGCTCAGATGGTAGACGATTTGCTTAGCATATGTGTGGCCCCTCATTCAGTTCCCAGCACCCCATAAAATTGGGTGTGACTTCCCACATCTGTAATTCAAGGTCATCTTTGGCTACATAGTGAGTTCTAGGCCAATTGGGTTATAGGTGCTGGAAGATGGTTTATTGGTTAAGAGTCCTTACTGCCCTTGCGGAGGATCTGAGTTCAGTTCCTCACGTAGGGCGGCTCAGAGCCGCCTGTAACTCTAGCTTCAGGGGAACTGAAGCCCTCTTTTGGTCTCCCTAGGCACCTGCATGCATGTGCACACAAGCCTGAGAGGGAGAGTGGGAGAACACAAACCCAAGAACCCAGACACCCTGGGGAGAGAGAGGAATACGGAAAAGAAGGACCGATCTGACCCTGACTTAACCCTTACCCTAAACCTCTGACCTACCTCTGAATGGGTTCCTGTGGCCACTAGTTCCATGTGGTGGAGATGGGGGCGGGGGTTGCTTCCAAAGGCTGGACAGTGATGAGTATGCCAGCTCATCTCTGTCCCTGAAGTCAGAAGTGGCCTTTATAGGCACTAGAGCCCAGATGGCTCTTTGGTTTTTAGCTAAAGATTCCCTCACCTTCTGCCAAAGCCTAAAAGGGGAGGGATTGGGGTGGTGCCTGGAGACAGGAGCGGGTGGCCAGGGCACTGGGACTATTGATCATGAAGCCTGTGATCAAGGACGGGGTTCACCACCTGTCTTGCTCTCTGAATTTTATACAGCAGTGCGGGTGGCCCGTTGCTAAGGGACAACCTCACAACAAAGAATGACTTTTATTTTGATGCTGAAAGGTCAGGCTTGGCTTGGCACAACCCGGAAGAAAACAGGCTGCTGTAGAAGCCAGGAGCCTGGGTTCCAAAGCTGATTGGGTAGTCAGCAAGCTCCTCAACTCCGCTGTGTGCCTCAGGCTCGCCATGGTAAAGCGTGGGCGCAAAGGCTCATTTTACTCAGTAGGCACCACGTGACTGATCTGAGGGGTTAAATCCACTGCTTAAATGTGAGCTGGGAGGTGAGGATGGGGTCAGGGACTGTTGGGTGAGGTGAGCCCTGAGAGGATGGCCTGTCACAGGTGCATCCTCTGCCTGGAATGTGACAGAGCTCAGGCGAGGCTGGGGTCCCCGGAAGGACAGAGTGGGGAGAGGGGCTTCCGGCAGGCAGAGCTGTCAAACTTGCTTTTCAGGACCCCTGGGGAGAAAAAAGCCTTGGCATCCTTATTTCCCACCAATTGTCTTGGTGCCCAGCAAAGAACATGGTAATAGTAATAAAATCAACAACGCAGGTTGGTAAATGTGACCCGGCTGGTAAAGTGCTGGCCTAGCATGCATGAAGGAAGCTCTGGCTTGGACTCCGAGAGGCTGCATCCAACTGGTTTGGGCGGCACAGGCCCTGTAATCTCAGCACGCAGGACGTAAGAGACAGGGAGCTGAGAAGTTGAAGGTCATCTGCTGCCACATAGTGGGTTGAAGGCCAGCCGAGGCGACAGGAGAACCTGTCTCAGAACCAAAACGTTGGCTCCTGCCTCGTGAGCTTTTGCTCCACACCAACCTCTCGTCTCAGTACCTGCTCTGCTCTGATTGCCTGCCCTACAGCTGTGTGTACAGGGCACTGGCCCTCTTTTGATTTACACGTTACAGGTGTGCAAACCTGAGCAGTTAAATGACTTTCCTTCTGCCACAGAGCTCAAATGGGGAATCACACCCCTCAGGCCGGGTAGCTCAGGGATTTGGGTGTGCTATGTCTCAGGCACTAAGCCGGAAACTCCAGATGGGGACATCTTCTTATGGAGAACGTGTTGATTAGGTGTTTTTTGTTTGTTGGTTTGTTTTTGTCAACGTGACACAAGTTAGAGTCACCCGGGAAAAGGGAACCTTAACTGAGGGACTGAGGGATTGCCTCCATCAGATTACCTGTAGACAGGTCTGCGGTGCATTGCCTTGATGAATGATTGACGGAGGAGGGCTTAGCCCACTATTGGTGGTGCCACCCCTGGGCAGGTGGAGCTGGGTGGTATAAGAAAGCAGGCTGGTAAACAATGTTTTCCCATGGTCTCTGCCCTGTGTTCTCTTCATTCTGGACTGTAAACTGTAAGATGAAATAAACCCTCTCCTCCCTTTTGGTCATGTGTCTTCATCATGCCATTTTCCTGGTAGCAACAGTAAAGAAAGTAGCAACAACGGTAACACTATAAATGGGAGGGGCACTGTAAATGGGAGGGGCACTGTAAATGGGAGGGGCACTATAAACGGATTGGCACTATCATGAGTTTTGCCTCAGTGGAGAGCCTGTGTTTCTGCTCATGCCATTAGGGAGTGCCATAGTTTGGATCTAGAATGTCCCAATGCATTAAAACTAGGTCCCCACGGAAATGTCCCCGAACTACGAAGAAAGGGGTAGCATGATACCACAATCCTTTTTTTTTTTTTTTTAAAATATATTTATTATGTATGGAGCATGTATGACTGCAGGCCAGAAGAGGGCACCAGATCTCATTACAGATGATTGTGAGCCACCATGTGGGTGCTGGGAATTGAACTCAGGACCTCTGGAAGAGCAGTCAGTGCTCTTAACCTCTGAGCCATCTCTCCAGCCCCCACAATCCCTTTTTAAAAGGCAGCCTGTTGAGTTATAGTTTGTGTACCATAAAAGCTACTGCTCATGATCATTTGGAAACTATATATCATACTTTTTTTTTCCCCTATGTAACAGAAACGAATGCATAGAGAGTAATGAAATTTCAGCCTGGTGGTGGTGGCACATGCCTTTAATTCCAGCACTTGGGAGGCAGAGTTAGGCAGATCTCCTATGAGTTTGAGGCCAGCATGGTTTACAGAGTGAGTTCCAGGATAGCCAAGGCTACACAGAGAAACCCTGTCTGGGGTGGGGTGGGGAGGAGTGATGAAATCTCCTGTTGATTAGTGCCCATATAAAACAGGGCGTTTCCAGCCCTCAGAAAGCCTCCCATGAGTCCCTCAGTCCCTTCAGGCTTAACATCATCACCCCAAGCCCCTCCCCACCCCCCTGCTTCCTCCCTTCCCCCCACTTCTAACTAACCAAGGCAGCCACTTCCGCTCCCTCCTTTTCTCTCTTTCCTTTGTTCTTCCTTCCCTCCTTCCCCTCCTCCCTCCTTTCTCTACCCCTCCTCTCTCCTTTCTTTCCTATTTCAAGAGTGAACATTAAAGTCTTTAGAGTCGTGTTCAAGGTTATAGGGAGATGGAGCTGTCCCAGCTGCCTGCTGACTGGGGCTCCTGACTGTCTCTCTGTGCCCCAGTTTCTTTATCTGAGAAATGTAAATGATACAGGGCTGACTTCTCAGGGGCTGGTGGGGCTGGAGAGAGCGGTCAGCAGTTACGGTGCTGCTCTTTCGGAGGACCTGAGTTTGGTTCCTAGCACCCATGCCTGGTGGCTCACAACCATCTGTAAATCCAGCAGGGTGCCTGATGCCTTCTTATGGCCTCCGAGGGCATCACACACACACACACACACACACACACACACACACACACACAGAGACAGAGAGAGAGAGATGAATAAAAATGAAATAAATGTTTAAAAAGAAGGGGCTAGGAGGAGGATTGCATCAGGCTTAATTTTTTTTTTTTTTTTTTTTTTTTGAGACAGGGCCTCATGTATTTCAGGCTGACCTTGAGCTTCTGGTCTAACCTGTCACCATTTCCTCAGTGCTGAGATTACAGGCATCAGCCATCACACTCAGGATATTAGCTACTTTTCTGTTACAGGCATAAAATACCATGACCAAGTTTATTTGGCCTTACAGTTCCCGAAGGATGGCAGTCCATCATGGTAGGGAGGAGGCATGGCTACAATCAGTAAACATGGTTGTAGTGGGTAGCTGTTCCAGCTTTGATCTGGAAGTACTACCCCCATTGAGGCTTCAGTAACTGTCATGCCTACAAGGCGGTGCTTAAGACCTGAGATCTGGATGTGGCAGCTCTCTTGGTTCCTGGATCCTGGACACTGGAGGTAGACCGAGCAGAGTTTTCCAGAGAACACCGCTGGACTGCACTACACCTTTCCTGGAACCTGAAACCTATCCCTTTACTTATAAGTTACCCCACAAAATAAACCTCTTTTTTAACTACGTGGAGTTGCCTTAATACTACAACCAATATCTGGCGCCTAACGTGGGGCTCGAACCCACGACCCTTGGATTAAGAATCCCATGCTCTACCAACTGAGCTTGGCCAGTAGCCAGGCAGGAAGGATAGTGTAGGTGGGACAAGGAGGAGGAGAAT